GGCTACACTCACACACGTTCAGTACGATACAGTGTCCCTACATATACCCGCTGGTCATGCATGTATCCGAGACAATGGATCCCTTGTACCTATGCGTTGCGGGCATCTGCCCGCTCTAGGGGCGGGGGAGGTTCTGACGAACGGCGGGGATACCGCCGGGCGTACTCCTGACCGCAGCAAGAGGCGGGTCCCAGGGACGCAATCGTACCCATTGGGCGGCAGGTTTGCAACCCGTACCCTAGCCTTCACTGGCCAAGGGTGGACAGGCGGCCACAACGCATAGGTACTGCGCCCTGCTACTCACCATTCCACCACTAGCGTACCCTTGCACCCCTCCTTCCGGTCATCGCCTAGCACTTCCCCTTGCCCCGTTCGCCACCGCTACTTCCCCACCACACCCCCCTAGTTAGCTCGAGCCTTGTGCTCACCATGTACAGCCGAACACCCACTTCTTACTCACGTCGATAGTATTTGTAGTTTAAGGCCTACCATGAGGCGCGGCCTCGCAGGGCAATAAACGGGATCTAGAAAGAAAGAAAGAAAAGTCAGCAGATGGCCGGTCCCCTGTAACGACTCGCCGAAGAGCTCTCGCCGCATGCGATGGTGCACATGTGGAGAACGTTAACGTTCGCCTTTCGCCGTATTGGTGGTGGACAATCCCTAGTACTATGTGCCACGTAGATCAGTTGGATCAGACGGTAGAGTTCGGGCACGCTGTGGGCGTCAGCGACATGGGAAGAGACGCTGGGGAAGTTGCTGCTCATTGGCTGGACCATCGTAAAAAAAGGAGGACAGCCAATCAGACACTCATCCGGCTGAATCGGAATTCAGAGGCTCCCACTGACTGTCGAACCTCCAAACCTTCCGTACTTAGATCCCTCGGTCGCTTTCTGACCTGCATAGTTCCATGAGGCATATCGAACACTGAGATAGCCGGATGATGACATGTACGTGGTGCGCTGCATTTGCCTCTATCCTCCTCAAAGCGAAGCGATATATGGGTCAAGGAGGGATGATAAGCGGAATCACGGTTTCGAAGTCGTTTCGAATGGACTTGGAGGAATAGTTGGCCGTTCCAAGCGACTGGAAAACGGGTAAGTAAACGTGGTGAACTTTGGTGGTACAGCCACAGGACACGGCTCGAGTGGCATAAGTTTTCCGATGGCAGGGCTCTAGATCATCGGAACCCATAGGCTGACTTCCGGAGACGTGCACTAAGACCATATATTTCTGGTGGTCCTCGTAAACTCGATCTAGGATGCGCGATTGTCTCAAAAACTCCGGTTCTCGTCTGCTGCCAGCGGGAACTTTATGCAACTGTGAGTAGCTAGACCGAGTCCGCCGGACTCGGACTCTATAGACCAATCGTGTACCGGCGTATGCCGTATTAGATAATACTGTGTCGGGTGAGGGCTGATACGGACGGGCCTGCATCCCTACGTGTTCTTCCTCATCTCGACCAACGCACGCCATGGCCTTCCAACTATCTCGCGCCCTGCTCATCGCGTCTTCTATGTGTCTTCGAAGAGCACTTCACACAGACCATACTTCAATCGCCCGCGAACTATTCAGAGCATCTCGTCTCGCAAAGCACAGCTCCGCACTTGGCGAAGAATACGAGGCAGCTCGGCGGGCGAGCTACCAACAGTACAAGAACGTTCGTTCCGCAGCGACGCAGCTTCGTGATGCCGCAAGCACAAGACATCATGACGCGGGAAGCCTCCCACCTGAGGATATAGAGCCCAGGATGGGCCATATCCGGAAGTACTTGGACGCGCTGGAACTGGAATACAAGCTGCGAAAGGCGCACCACGCTAAATACGATGGAGATCGTGAGTTTATTCGCAGTACTTCAGTGTATACATGCGCCTAGACGAATGCCACACGCGCGTAGTTGACCAAGGTCACCAGAGGAGGCTGCAAGCGCTTGAGGAGCAGATCTGGCATCATAGAGACATACTTCGCATCTTGACTTCCCGTCTGCGGCAGCATCTGGCGGAAACAGAACCACAAAAATCGCTCGACCACCTTCCCGAGCTTCTTCCCGAACCTTGTCCTCCTTCGATGCTGGCCAGGAGGCGTGATGAGGCGCGAGAGAAGGGACTCCGGACCTTGCGTCTCGCCAAGTCCGTGCGCACGCATGCTCCAGTCAAGGAGGAGAATAGGCATCGAAGAGGACCAAAATCTGACGGATCACACGAGCACGCCTCTGCAGCACCGCATATAAGAGGTCTTCTTGGGAGGCTACGCAGCAAGGGAGGACCAAGCGGTGGAGAAGGGGGGACAGGAGAGCAAACTCGGAAACCCGAACGCAAGTTGTTTGCGGTGGCGCGTTTCTTGCAAAGGTGCGACATCTTTGTGTCCAGTCCATTGAGACATATCCTGAACATGACGTCGGCAGCTCCGGGGTGAATGCGCATCTGAAAGAGCGTAGACCTAGTGCAGGAGATCGATCATCGCGTCGTCTAGACCCTACAAATGATCCGGGATCATAGTCTCCATGAGGCTCGCCTCTTGTATCGCTTGGTGCAATTCGAGTTCGTGCCTTGGATTGTCCGCACCCCGCAAACGGACTGTAGGATCAAGTGCTTGATACCATTCAAGGTGTCGATGGTTCACTGTTCCCCGAAACGACTGATTTAATGAATGCCCTGATGTTCATCCGTATACCCTAGAGCACGGTGTTGATAGCTACTACTATGGCGAAGATCTCGACGAGTGTCTCGCAAATTGAACTACTCTTGGCGCCCCATCCGCTTAGCAGCCTACTACAACCGCTGGCGATAGAGACAATCCAGGTGGGCAACGTTTTGTGCTGACTTGGCGCCCTCATACTCAATCGGTCGTCTCGGAACGCTCCAGGCAGCTGTGCTACTGTCAGGATACAGGATGAGGTGCGCAGCCCGCAGAAATCGCTCATCTAGCAGTACACGCTACCTGGTCATGCAGTATCGCACGGCGATCCGTTGACACTCGGGTTGAGCACTTGGCACTACGCCACCACACGTACATTCGCATGCCACATCACACGACCGGAGGTGTGGAGGATGCAAGCGTTCGCGCGCTGACGGGCTCCTTTCGCAGAGATGTCAATCGTTGAACCTTAAACAGCACGGGCGCGCTTCCTTTCACTCTACCATCACGGATGTCTCACAGCGTATGTCACACCCTCCTCGATGGCGGCGATACGCGCTGCTCAGCTGCTGTGAGACGAGGAAGACAATCTTGCGGCAAGCACGCCGCTGCGTATGACGCAAGTTACAAACGCTACAAGAACGCGGAGAACGACGCGAAACTCCTACGCGCCGCGGCGCAGACGAAACGTAGCGATGTGCATACTCTCCCCGCAAGCGAGATCGAAACGAGGATCAAGAATGTCCAGGTGTACTCGGACGCGTTGGAGCTCGAACTGACACTTCGAAGGGAGCACGATGCGTATTTCATTGGAGATCGTCAGTCGAGTGACACCTGCTCTTTGCTTCAACACGATTAGATACTCATCTGCACGTCTATAGCTGACGAGGGACACCGGAAGAGGCTGCAAGATCTGAAACAGCAGATCAAACATCACCGCGATGTACTTGCAGCGTTGCACGCACGATTGGAGATGATGCATCCCGCCGTTAAGCGCACGTCTCAATGCAAGCGCCGTCGTGGTAGCGTGGCTGGTATCACCGCGGAATCCGCGCCTCCCGATCCTCAACCCCAAGCGACATCTCATCATAATCCAAAGCGGTACAGGCTAGCACAATCAAATCGAGGTAGAGATGAGTAGAGATGAGCGCAAGAAATTCGAGGAGGGACATGAGCCGCGTTCAACCACCCCTGCTCTTGGTCCCCAGAAGAGGCCCTCGCAGGCGTTGACAATCTTGGTCTCTGTTGGACTGAGCGATGCCGAGTAACAGAGGTCGATGTGATGCGGACAGGTGATCAGTCCAGGCAGGATGTGGTGGCTGAAGTGTCGCGAGGCGTTGGGGTGGTACGAAACGAGCAAGAGGAGCGCGCGAATGCGCCTGAGGATGGCGGCGCGTCTTCGGAAGGTGCGGATCCGCCCTGTCAGACGGCGAGGGCTCTTCAAGCGTTGTGTACGCCGTTGTCTCCCACAATTCAAGTGGACACAAACGAAATGACGAGTTCGCCGTCTCGTCTCCGGATGTCGGGCGAGTACACCCCGACAGACCACGAGGGAGCGCACTCAGAGCACGAGGACGGGGATAGCGAACGGAGTCATGGTCTCCCAGAGCATGGCCGGAGGTACTTGCACTACGCCCTAGCGGCCATCCTCCAAGTAAGTTCTTCGAAAGCTGTCCATACGCGAACTAAGCTCACCTTCAGAGCCTCAACTCGCTGTGTTTGCGCTCATCCGCAAATTCTACACAGGCAATGTTCGCAAGGATCTGTGGCCAATGATCGCGCGAATGTCAGCCGTTTTGCGTAGGCCTTCAGCACCCTAAGACGTAAGCTCAGCACCGCAGGAGAGCCTCTACTAAATCCTGAGCGGACTCACTTGGGTTCGTAGACGCAGTTGCACGTTATCATCAAATGTCGTACTGTGTCATTCACGAGTCCACCTTTCGATTACGGACAGCTCGGATATGACATCAATCTCTTCCGTCATTCGCTGCCTGGCTAACATGTGCCACCGTGGGTGATTATACTGGCGTCGCGCGTGAGCATTGATCCGTACTTCATACCCCTTCGCTGATAGCTTATTGCGGGTAAAGACTCAGTGTCATGTTTGCCTCTCGATTTCTACTCGACTTGTGCGAAGTTGCCGAATGCCATCTATATGGGTATACAGGGCAACTTTCGACATTGGCCTTGAGCACACAACCGACGAGCAGCTCGGTGGTCTGGCGCATCGAGAGGTAGCTGACGGCGATCAACGACGATAATACGTCGCTTGTGCAGTGACGATACGCGTCTTCAGGTGCTTAGCATTCCTGTAATCTCCAGTCGACAGTTACTACTCAGATATAGAGAGAAGAGTGCAGTTCTGGCTCTACTCTATTCCCGAGTTTGTTGATTCGCGCTAAAGTTATAGGACGACAGGCTTGAGGGTCTGCGAGAAGGCATAGGTTAGCGCAACGGAGGAAGGAGCCAAGAACATCCTATCTCACATACCCCTTTGTCACATCAAGCCTGGATGTGTATGGGGGAGGAGGATCATCCGCCAGACCGGTCATACTGGATCCAGAGCGCGAGAGGCGAATAGAGAAGGATCTCCCGAACCGAGTTAGCGAGCCGAGTAGCATCGTAGTCTTGCCAGCTGCTCTCCGATTCGACTCGGCAGGCGGAGCGGTAGCTCGTAAGCTCGGGGGCATCGGTGAACCATTCGAGTTGTTCCGATCCAAGGAGACCGAGTATATAGTGGCACGATTAGAGGCGTTAGACATAATGGTAGGATCTCCATACGTGGTCGTTGTGGCATTGGCTATCTCAGGTGTGATGCTGAGGATTGGTGGACGCTCTTCGACTTCAACCGCGAATGACGTTACTACTTCAGGACTACTGAAGGCTGTAGAGATTCTTCGAGTCATTCCTTCACTCCATCGAAGTGGACTACTTACTGTTTCGAAGCCTTGTTTTGTTTTTGATCTTCCGGGCACAGAACTAAACACCGAACGCGATGCCGAGGAGGATGACGCCGCCGAGAACAGTGCCAATGATGATGCTGTCGGTCGATGACTTGTCATGAGACGCCTCCGATTGATCACTCCCTGAGTGATCCGATGCCGTCGAGTTGCTGTTTGCGCCGCACAACCAGAGGTAGTCGAGAATATAGGGCTGTTCGGATGAAGTCTGATTGACGAAGATCGTCAGGTTGTGGGGACCAAGGCCGGAAAGGGGTTTAGAACTGAACAATTGCTGATTCGGGATGCATTCCGTCGTGGATCCAAGATTTACAGCAGTGGGCAACGACCCGTCAATCGAGTAGGAAGCCAAAGGAGGGGAAGGCCCTGGGGGCACAAGGCCGAAGACAACAATGCTAGAGGCTGTCGTGCACTGATCAGCGACGCGTCACAAGATTGGAAGAACATAAGAACCGCTGAACAGGAGCGAGACCGAGGAACCGGCTGTGTTCGTGAAGTGGAGAGTATGTACAAGCCCGTTGGGATCGCTGGTGGTGAATTTCCATCCGTTTCTGTACTGAAAGGGGCTCAAAGACGTGCCGAAGCCAAGCAATATGCAGGTTGTTCTGACTCCTGAGGTCCATTGCTAGCAAGATACTAGGCGTCTATATGACACGCGGCAATGGCCTGCCCTCATGCGAGAAAAGTGAACGCGGGAGCAAGAGGGCCGTCATGATGTTTCACTCAGATGAATCCACGTCGGAATTGTGTGGGCATGTGAGGACTTGCGCACATTTCTGGCCCCGCTAAGAATGTCAACAAGTCCGGTGAGCACACACATGTGACGATTCTCTAGAATATGCTGCGCACATAGTCTTGAGTACAGAGATACGTTCATCATGACCTACGGATCATGCTGAGCTCATCAGGATCAAGTAGATACAAGATAACGTCTCAGTCATGGGGCACTACGGGTGCAAAGTGGGGCGCATAATAAATAAAGTACGGCATACAAGCGAATTGTGACAGAAGCAACGTTGAAGCCGGCACGCTTCCCATGAATCTAATCGGTGCATAATTGGTCAGAGATCAGTATCGACGGCGAATATGAGGATGTCTTGTCTTTGTGAGGTACCCCGAGTGCTCAAGAGCGGCTTTTCCTGGTACCGTTGCCAGGATGCCAAGATGCATAAGCATCCCCGAAGCAGCGACCCTTTTGCTTCCGAAGGTGACGCTGCAATGCATCTCGACGGCTGAAGGTCTCCCAACAACCTCCAACCATATCTCGGATCACTGGTGTGCCTCTCATCAAGTCATCGGGTAGCCCCTTCTGACGCGCGACGTCTCTGGGATATCCGCAACACGTCCAGAGCGCGACGTCCGACGGCTTGTTGTGAGTAGCAATGTGGCGTTTGAGGTCTACCATACGACGACGTCCTTGGACGTAGCTGCAGTGTGGGCACTTCCATCGGTTGATGGCAGCGGTGTGATGTGGAGGCAAGGACATATATGGTGGGTCATCGGAGAGTTGCTGAAGCGACGAGGGGAGTGTGGGGAAGGCATAAGGATAGGGATAGGGATCATCCTGGGAGAAGTCGCAGCATTCAGTGACCGCGCTGAAGGACGCGTCGATGCCGGAGGTGGTGAGGAGAGCCAAATCAGAGGAAGGGTAACCCTGGTGAGACTCGTAGAGGAGGTTCTCCTGCTCCTCGAGACATGACGGGGCGACGTTGTGGTCGGCGCCATCGGAATCGTTGGTTGGTCCGCTACGAGGACAAGTGTACGGATATCCTGCCTCTGGCTCGGATTGTGAAGAGTAGCCATGAAGCGCGTAGTCCGCGTTTTGGGAAAAGTAGGAGTAGCCGTCTGGAGGGGTCGCTAGAGATGGCATGCCAGTAGCGTACCATGCAGCAAGATAATGATCCGTTGGAATAGATGCGGCGGAGGAATTCGTAGAGGTATGGGCTGCGTTATAATAGCCTTCGTACTGAAGCGAGATATGGTCCAAGAAACTGGTCAGACATGCAGAACGCTGTTGGTGAGTATCATGACTGAGATAACTGCCAGGCTGACGTACAAGTCCTCCATGGCCATTGTCAGTAAGTTTTCACCAACGGTAAGAGCAGGTACGTTCCCCTCATAGCCATATAACGGTGTACGTAGGTGAGGGTGATTTGGAGGGTGGCTCGGTGGACTTCCCTGGAAACCGGATACGGTGACATAGTCGAGGTAAGTGCTATCATACTCTGTTTGAAGGAAATCCGGGTAAGCATGGCTATCCGTGGGAGAGTATAGTTGAGAGCCATTAACTGGCTCCATCCATGGAATGCCGCAAGCGACTCGGAGGAGACAGTGGTCGAGTCCACTGCGGATAGGAGAAGGACGAGTAATCTGAGAACGCAAAAGCCATCGCATTCAATGTGGTCCGGATTTTATGATGCTCGAAGAGACATCGGGGCGCCATTCTGGTATGGAAGTAGAGCGCAATAAGGCAGACGAAGGGTCCGCAGAGATGTGATCTGGAGATACAGTCAGCAGTGGCCGACGACAAACAACAGCAAACCATGACTTCGGCGCGGAGCAGCTCTAGGCGCCTGTGACCACCCATCTACTTCGCGACCACAATTCGCAAGCCTCCGTCCTTCCCTTCACATCAGATTCCCTTCTGGCTAGAATCTACATCAGAAGGCGGCGCATATGGTTATGTCAAAGGTTCCATTTTGGGGTATCCGTAGTACCGCAGAATTGGTGACCATCTCAACAGGCAGCGTAGGCGTTCCGTGTCCTGGAGCTGTTCGACTCGGGTCACGCAGAATTCTCGGCTGAGAGGTGATACGCGGATTCGGAAATATTCGAAGGCGGGCTGTGAGAAAGAAAACCCACGGTCCAAATCCAAGTCATTCCTCCGGACGGCCGGGCGGAAGGGGCAAGCAGTCCCCGGGATTCTCGAATGTACAATCGTCACAGCGGATGCTGGTATGGAGGGGCAGGCCCCTGTGTATATTTGCTGGCTTGGTGTCATATCACTCGTTCGCGCCTCAAACGTCGTGCAGTATACTAATTGACGATCCCAATATACGCAGCTCTATGCTCAACCATCGAAGAGAGCCTTTCCGGTCTGCAGAGACCGCCTAGAACATGCATTGGCGTTTGATTTCAGTCCAGCGGAAGACATCCCATTATGGAGGACAATCTCAGAGTGCATGTTTCTGTCGCTAGTACCTTATCGAATGTTTACAGTCTTCAGATCCCTCGGCATGAGCACCATGGACGAGGTGTACGCTTCCAAGCTATCACTCAAACGTCATCCTACGGGCACGCATGATATATTAATTGTTGGGTCTGGATAAGGCAGCAGCAAAACTTTACGCTCGCGAGAAGTGACAGCGGAAAGCCGATTGAGGACAATATATCATCATCACTGCCCAGATTGCAGGTCTCACCTCAGCGAAGCTCACCCTATTTAGTTGTCAGGTATCGAATGGTACAAGCCCGGGGTTCCATGGATACTCTATTTATCCGACGCCAAATGCTAGTACGTGACCATAGCCTGTGGACAGAATATCAATTTTCTTTGCCTGCTGCGCGGTGGACATCTGCCTGTCTAGGCCAGAAGGAGCCGGCGGAAGCTGTCTTGGAGGAGGGCTTCTGGAACGCCGGATTCCTTCAACCTCAGGACCTTGTCTACCGTCCGGCCGAAAGCCTAGACATTGCACTCGTCTTCCCCGCGGGAGCCATCGGACCAGGGACTGCGCATCCGTAGCCCCACTAATGGGCGTGTCTACCATATTCACGAATCGGTAACTTCGCATCGCCGATGCATCGCTCCACTCGGGGGATCTGTTTCATCCACCTTCCTGAGGTCCGTAGCAACTATATGATAGGTACGTACTCCTTGTTCCTGCCGTTATTGTATGCCAATCGACATCACACAGCCCGCAGTGAGCGCAACACGGCAGAGCGTGAAAATTTCGTGCACTGACAAGTTGGAGAGGATAAGGACGGTCCAGGTGTCACATTTTCGATAGGGGATCCAGCGAGGTTGTCACGGCGTTACGGCAGCCGAAGGCGTGCAGAGACGCATCCGGGCTCTGCCATTACATCGAGAGTCTTCCCGTATGTAGATTTCTACCTAGTGACATAGATATCCACGACGTGCGAACGAAAAAAAAAAGCCTTTACTTGGGAGGTGTCAGCGCTAAGTGCGAACGAAGCCGATGGAAGTACTACATGCCTGGCCCACATCGACCTCGCATCGGCCTTCGTTCACCAAAGCCTAACCAGTTCTTCGGGATTGCCTGACGCCGCGGTCGTCGAACGCCGTCATCACAAGCTTGACACCAAGACGCAGAGGATTTAGTCATCAATTGGGGCAGCCATGGGAAGGGCTTCAACATCTTGGCGACCGCGGCTGGAGTGCAAGAATGTGTCCGGCCACAAGTTGCCTCGGTATGCGGCTCCACCGAAATCCCTACAACTGAACCAAGTCGCGTTTAGGCAAGATGAAGGTACGGATTGACACGACGGACTGAATAGTTCATCGATAGTGTAGTCGCGATGACGCAAGGAAACCGATATGGCAGGCTCCTTGTGCGGCGGCTGGGGGGCGAAGAAGGGGATAAATGGAAGAACCAACGGCGAATACTGGCTTCTGGCGGGACCACTTGGAGGCCCGAACCACCTGTGGAAGCGGCCGGTTCGAAAGAATGCTCTGCGGTCTAAATCACAGTCAGAGTCAAAGAGCAGCAAATGACATTGATTCGTTGTCGAGAAGAGCGAAGAAATGAGAGAGAACGCGCAGACTGTCTGACAGCATTGAGTATGGGCTCTGCATCGGCTCGTCGTAATTACGTCTCATAAAACGGGGTCAAAGAAGCAACTCACCAAGCTCCAAGTCGACACGCAAGCCCCACTGCCGTTCAAAGCTCCCATGATGCATGTCAGTGAGGTCGCAAGTATCTAGTGATCATAAATCCAGAAGATTGGAGTGCTGAACTTACGGCCTCCCTCGGAGATAGGAAGATGGTCTCGCGCCTGACGTGCGACCATCTGCCGAGGACGGGCTTCGCCATCCCAATTGTCCCAGGATGGACCACACGAAGATGAGCCTTCTGAGAAATCAACGGTCTCGTTTTTGACAGGGGGGGTATAGGCGGCTTGGTAGAATTGCCTGGATATCGCGAAAATAGGTCGTCCGATGACGCCCCGCAAGTTCGAGCGCACCAGACTCGGGCCTAGAAATTCACATCATTTGACAACTGCCTCAAGTTAAGTTCCGGGGACTGACCGGCATCTGTGATTCTGTGGTAGCTGCTCAGCAGCCGTCATGACTTGAGTTTAGAACCGTTCTCGATGCGGGAGACAGTGTATCGATTCATTCCTTGAACTATCCACAAGCGACCTAATTCAGGCCGCGCAGAAAAGCTCGCATCACCGTTCGGGCCATAAAGAGACTGGTCAGGCACATAGGGAATGCTGCTGCACTCAGGAGATAAATTACGGCCCCCCGATCTGCTTCCTCCCTGCACAGCAGCGTAGCCATCTAGCCACATTATCTGATATGTGGCAGCGTCCCCTGAGTCAGATTGCGCAACACGTCCCAGGTGAGCTTCAAACCGACTTATGCTCGAAACAGTCTGATGCATCGTGCGCAGCAACGTAACAGCGTCGAGTCGCCTACCGGAAAGAAAAGCTGGAGTGACTAGTCATCAAAAACGTACCTCTGATGGTGGAAGTGGCTTCCAGTGAAGACGAAGTTCATCTTCATGTCACGGCTCCCATTTCGAGTATGCATTGACCGTCTTCGTGGGATGCCACGGCCGTCAATGATAGGCAGCCTTCGGGGCAGGGTTGTTTCGTAGAAGGGAGTGAGGTATCCGGAGGGGCCGCGCGCCGTTGACAGCAGTGCGACAGCGGTCGACCTTTCCCGTGAGGTGATGACCGGATATCCTGATATCTGCCAAAAAGGTCATTGCCCAATTTCACGTATCCCTTCTAATCGGTTATGAGTATAGAAGATATAAAGCAATAATCATCATCGAGAGATTTCTATGGGTCTTGTGGAGGCCGTAGGGCCTACCGATGCTGACTGCCGGCAGCAGGTGGAGTCGGCTGCACCGGGCGGCTAAGTGCTGGAGAGCACAGACGGAGAAGCGGCGGAGGCGGCAGCAGTGATTGAACTTATGTAAGTGGTTTCTGGACTTTTCCAGTTCTATGGTTCTGTCCGGAAAGAGTGTTCCCATGTCATGCATACGAAGAAACGGAACCCGGATAAACGGCGATGACATGAGTGTGACATGTTTCCCTCACGGCGCCTCCCTCTATAGGAATGGGGACGCCTTATTGTTATCAAGTCCGTCAACTCATATAAAGCGGTAATGATTTCGGTGTATACACATGAGTATAGACTCACCATCCCATACCAGTGACCTCCACACCGACATCATCGGCAAGCGCATCATCAAATGGAGGCACTGATGATTTACGCTCTAGTGGCCCGCAGAGAAGAAGCAGAGCAATGAGGCCTAGTGTGATCTTGAGGATATCAATAGAGTCCTTTCGCAACCGATTCAAAACCGGATTGGGTCCCCCCAATCACTGAACTGGTGGTGCAGTGGATACCTTGTCAAGCGCGCTATTGCACAACGATTATTGGCGGTCGAAGGGATGTGCGAGGGACCCACCTCAGCTGATTCTGAACTGGGAGCGCTGACAGATTGAACTACCCCACCGGTTTCAAATCGCCTGCGAAAGAACTTCAATATGGAAGCATCGGAGGGAGAGGACGTGAATGGCGATGCGCGCGGCGGCTCCGTTTCCCCGGAGGCACTGAACCAAAAGCGGACAGACGCCCGTGATCTCCGGCGTTCACCTTGCTGCGTTCGACAATGACCGAAGCGCACATCTCAGAGCACATTGCCCCCATCCGACGATGTGGAGACCCTCTGGCTTGCCTAGGATAACATATGCAGCAGTCATGGGGGAAACGACGTATCTCTGACCCCCGGATCCTCCCCGCCTCGCTCTACCCCTCACAACATGAATTTCTACCCGTGCTACAGTTCCTCTACCGCTTTCGCCCCCTCCGA